ACCCCTACCTTGAATTTGAAAGTAAAACTCAAGAAAGGCAGCGAATGTAGTAAAGCAGAAATACCTACATCTTTCTGAACATACAAAATATCATCATGCTAAAATAGAACTCTTTTGCCTTTAGTTTAGTCCTCTCAGTATTAATGCTTTCACTAATACTAGTACTATTGTTACTGTTCCTTCCTGCCCCACCGTGACATCACCTTCTCATTTGATATGCTTTCTTAGACTGCGTCATTGGGGTGCATGGGGAAGTTTTGTGTGCTGTGTATGAAACTGCAAGAAAAAAATAAGGTAAAGTCTCCCCCTTTTCCCTAAGATTACAGGTGGGTCTTATAATAGTCTACTCTCTCTATTTATACAGAAATTACACTCGAGTCAGGTCAAACATAAATAGGTATTAGCTATTGTATCTGCGTTTTATACCAGTACAAAGAGGAACATGGCAATACTGCTACAGATCTTCTTAAGGCTTGACCTGTCATAGATACCTGTGAATGCCTATAGGCAGAGACCTCTCTAGGATACGGAAAATAGTGATTAAAACTGCTCAGAGTCCTGTGTTTGGAGTGGTTCTAAACTCTTCCACAGGATTTAGCAGCTGTTGCTACATGGTGCCAAAGAGAGTGAAGGAGCGAAGACTGCTACCAGTTGGTGCCAAAAACAAATTGGAAGCACTGATACACATTTGCATAAACATGCTCTCTGAGCTTGGGAGGCCCTCCTTTTCTCAGACCTCTTCATCACCCCGAACAGGGCCTTTTGAAATATTTTCTCCTCTTCTTTCCCTGTTTAGTACAACCATTGTTGTTCTTTTGTTAGATTTTTCCATGTAAAAATAAATTATTTTACACATGTATATATGTATATACACACATTTCCTGCAGAGATTGGGAGGTGGAAGGTGGGAGGTGGGAGAAGGGAGGATATTACATGTGATGCTTTGACCCCAGCCTTGAAAAGCCCTAAAGATCTGGATGGAGGCCTTTTTCACTAGACAGATAATAAAGCTACTATAGAATACTTCTTGGTGCATTATAATTTTTGTTTAAGTTTTGTTAAGCCAGGCTTATCAATTTACATCTATTAAAATTCGCCCCATTTAGATGTACAGTTCCATGAATTTTGACAAATGTATACAGTCTTGAAAGCACCATTAAAATCAAGATACAGACTATTTCTCTTATCCTAAGAAGTTCCCTTTTACCCGGCGCCCACCCTCAGTCCTTGGCAACCATTGATCTATTCTTTGTCCTTATAGTGTTGTCATTTGACAGTATCATATAAATGAAATCATACAGTATGTAGTCTTTTGAGTTTGGTTTTTCTTTACTTAGCATAATGCTTTTTGCTATTATGGTTCTGTTGGTTCTGTTTTACTGCTGAATAGTATTCCATTGTGTGGATGTATCATAATTTATCAGTCACTTGATGGATATTTGGATTGTTTTAAGTTTTTGATGATTATGAACAAAGTTACTATAAACATTGAAGTGCAAGGTTTTATATATATATATATGTATGCTTTTCTTGGGTAAATACCTAGGAGTGGAATTTGTGGATTGTATGATAACTATACGTTTAACTTTATAAGAAACTTCCATGGTGTTTTCCAAAGTGGCTGCACCATTTTTAATCCCCTCTGCAAATACAGGACACTTCCAGTTGCTCTACGTCCTTCTCAGCACTTGATATTGTCAGCTTGTTTTGATTTAGCCAGTTTAATAGGCATGTAGTAGAGTAAGTTGTAATTTAATTAAATCATTGAATGTCTATAACATTTGATTCCATGGGGCAATTCAATGAAGTTTAAATAATTCTTCCCAAAAGAAGCTTGTTTTTAGGTGAGAAGCCAATACAAATACACACAAAAATCAAATGGAATATTCAATAGTAGTACAGGATGGTAGCAGGAATGATACCAGAAGAAGGTACAGGATTGATTTTCATTGACCCATTAAGTTAATTATTGCTAAGTTAATCATTGTCCCTACAGGCTTTTGTGGACACTAAGTCTAATGGACTCTTTCTTCACAATCTGTTACTAGTTTTTTTTCCTTCCTTCCTGTTTTCTGCTGTCAGTACCTCATTTCAGGCCTTTATCATCTCATCCTAAATTATTATGGGAATTTCTAACTGATTTGTGTCCTCCAGATCCTTTCTACTACAATCAGTCCTAATTATAGCCATTAAACTAATCTACTAAAACCAGTTTTCTGTTCCTGCATAACAAATTAGCTCAAATTTAGTGGCTTAAAACAATACTCATTTATTTGTTCACAGTTCTTTAGGTCAGAAGTCTGGGCACAGCGTGGCTACATTCTCTACTTAGGGTGTCACAAAGCCAAGGTCAAGGTGTTGACTGGGTTGCATTCCCATCTGGAGCTTAGGACCATCTTCCAGGTTTATATGGCTGTGGCAGAATGTTAATTCCTTATGGTTGTAGGACTGAGGCTCCTGTTTCTTATTGGCTGTCAGCTGGGAGACATTCTCCGTTCCTGGATGTCACCCTCATTTCTTGACACATGATCCCTTTCATCTTCAAAGGCAACAATGGAAAGTCTGTCTCACATAAAATCCTTCTTATGCTTCAAATCTCTTTCTCTAAGGACAGCCCAGTTCCATTTAAGGATTCACTGGGTTAGGTCATGTTCACCCAGGATAATCTCCCTTTCTTGGAGTCAACTATTCCATCAAACATAACCTAATCATGGTTGTGCTATCCAATCATATTCACAGATTCCGTCCTCACTCAAGGGTACGGATTAGATAAGGTGTACTTGAATTCACCAGGGAGAGGGAATCTTGAGGGTCATCTTATAATTTTGCCTACTATATATCCACATTTAAATGTCAACATTTAAAAAGCTAATTTCAACATTGCTCCCTGTTTATTGCAACTTACTTCTTTCCTCTGGGTTCATTTTTCTCTTTGTAATTATTTCTCTTTAGTAATTATTTTGGTGAGGGTCAGTAACTGTTAGACACTTCTAGTTGTCAGAAAATATGTTTTTCTCATTCTTACTTTTAAATGGTAGCTCTTGCTAAGGTGAAATTTTAATTGATGTTTACAGTTACTTTTCCATTGCCTTCTGGATTTGGAAGACTGAAGTTGGTTATTGGTCTAATTGTACTTTCTTTATGAGAAATGTTTTTTCTCCTTGGTAACACTTAAAAGTTTCTCTTTAACAGTGATATTTACCAATTCCACTAGGACAAGTCTAGATATGGAGTTATTTGTCTATTTTCTATCCTGTTGATCTCCAGAGTATATTTTCAACTTAAGAACTCCTATCTTTCTAAAATTTTGCAAAATTCTACTTTTTTCTTCAAGTAAAAAAGTTGCTTCTCTTGAATTCCCTCCATTCTTTTTTCCTGGAACTCTCAAGAGAACTATATCCAAAACAATTTATACTCCATGTATATTAACTATTTCTTTATATTTTTATTTCTTTGTATAAAGTGCTGTATGCCAAGAGAATTCCCCAGTTCTATCTTCCAATTTAGTGATTTTCTCTTTAACTCTTTTGTCTAGAGTTTGTACCTTCTATTGATTTTTTTTTTTTTTTTTTGAGACAGAGTCTTGCTCTGTTGCCCCAGCTAGAGTGCTGTGGCATCAGCCTAGCTTACAGCAACCTCAAACTCCTGGGCTCAAGCGATCCTACTGCTTCAGCCTCCTGAGTAGCTGGGACTACAGGTATGTGCCACCATGCCCAGCTAATTTTTTTCTATATATTTTTAGTTGTCCAGCTAATTTCTTTCTGTTTTTTTAGTAGAGACAGAGTCTCGCTCTTGCTCAGGCTGGTCTCGAACTCCTGCGCTCAGCGATCCGCCCGCCTCGGCCTCTCAGAGTGCTAGGATTACAGGCATGAACCCACTGCGCCCGGCCTCTATTGATTTTTTAAAATTTCAATCACTGTATCTTTTTGTTTGAACACCTTCTAGTTAGTATGTTTTATTAACCATGAATTATGTTTAATTCTACCTGTTTCATAGTTTTGTTTTATTTCAGATGAATATTATTCTTGCATCTATTTCTTTGTGAATCCTAAACATACTTGTTTAAAGACTGTATATGAAATATTTCTTATTTTCTTTCATCTCAAGCAAATTTCTTTTTCAACCATAGTTTTGTTTGGCTTTTTCTTAGAATTAGTTTTCTTCTTATAGTTTTCAGACTCATATAGAATGGGAGGTTTTTATTTTTCTCTCTTTTTCTGTGCTTACCTCCTGCTGTCTAGTGATTTTACAATTGCCTTTACATGATCTCCAAGGGACTCAGGCCAGAACCTAGTCTGATATCAGCTGCTCCTAGCTCCTGTCCTAGAGGATATTCATGATACACAAGGTGATTTGAATCAAGTCCAGGTCAAGAGGCTGTGTCTGTGGTCCTTTAATTTCCCCAGATGCTCATTTTCTGTAAGTCATATCCCCAGGCCAAAGCATCCTTGAGCTTAAACAGAGGAGCTCCATCTTAGTCATAGTTTCAAACAGTTAGAGATGCTCTAGTTTTCCACCTCTTCTTGGGCACTTTAGTCCCTGTTATCTCACAGAAACTGAAATCCTCCCCTCCTCTATAAGCTTCCCGATCCAGGGTGTAGTCCACAGCTTCAGCCCCCTCTGTTGCAAGGTTTTGGGAAGACGATTGACATCATATCATGCACATTTAAAAAGCATTGTTCTGGCTACTGCATTGAGAATAGGGGTTTGGATCAGGATAGGGCTGGGGTAGAAGTGTAGAGACAAGGAGACCAGTAAGGAAACTACTGTAATGATCCAAGTCAGAGATGACGGTGGCCCAGACCAAGATGAGGGAAAATAAGGAATCAAGGATGACTGCCAGAGTTCTGGGGTGAGCAGCTGGGTGGATGGTGATGCCATTCACTGAAATAGGGAAATGAAGCTGGATCTTTTCCCAAAGGAGTGAAGTGGTTGCCCAAACCCAGATGACTATGGGTCCTTGCAGGTTCCCCGACTCCAAGTGTAAAGCACTCATTTACAGGAAATTCGGTCTCCAACATTAAGGTCAGAGGTCCATTGGACCAAAGGATCAGATGTCCCTAAAAAGATGGGCTCCTCTAAAATTGGAATGGAGCCGGGCATGGTGGCACATGCCTATGGTCCCAGCTACTCGGGAGGGTGAGGCAAGAGGGTCCCTTGAGTCCAGCCTGGGCAACATAGAAAGACCCTGTCTCAACAAACAACACACAAATAACCCCCTCCCGCAGCAAAACAAACACACACAAAATAAATAAAATTGGAATGGGTCACCCTGGGCTGGGGGTATTAAGGGAGCCCTTTGGTATTAACAACTGATGACTTGCTTCAGACTCAGTTTAAGCCTCTGTTTCTGTTATTCATTGCCACTAGCCTGCCAGAATCAGCCTGTGTCCAGTCCTTCTGAGATGGGGCCATATCCCTCCTGTGTGATACCTCTGTTGCCTTGGCAGCTAGCCTTAGCAGTTAGCCTTGGCGTTCACACTGTACATGAGAAACCAAAGGATAATTCAGATTCATAACCAAAGTGTCATTTCTTTGTAGAAAGTGAAATGAAATGTTGAGGCAATTATGAAAATTATTCATATTTTTTTCCTCCCTTATAGGAATATTTCATGAAAAATTTTGGGGCTTGTCATTAACTAACTCATTACTTTAATTAACCACTTCATTATGTAAGTGTAGACACAGCTTTACAATTATTTATACTGTTTCTTCCTGTGTGTAAATAATTGCGAAGTAAAAATATTAATTTGTGAATGTAATTGTGTAGGTGATCACTCTGAATTTACTCAGAACTAGCAATTAGTGCATGCAAATCAGCTAAGACAAAAGTCTCTCTGATCCTGTTCAAAATACAGGAAGCGTTAATTTGCAAGAATGCCTGCTCCTGGCCCATCTGATTCTCAAAAGTCACGTTCTTGCCTCTGAAAATCAGAAACTGACCGTATTTGTTGTGAGCTTTATGATCACTCTTAATGCCCTGGCAAACACAGGAAATAAAATGCTAACAAATCATCACCCATTACCTAATTATATTTATTCAGACAGATAAAGTTGGGGGGAAAAGAGTGGATCGTGTTTTTTTTAAAAAAGGCATTTCTCATTTGGCAGAGATGAAATTTATAGCTTAATTATTCCTCATAGTGCCATACAGAGCCTTTTCTGTTAATCATACCCAGGCCCTGAGATTTTTTTTTTTCCCAAAGAGGTGTAAAAGTGTATTGACTCCCAATTAAAGCAGTAGCCCCTCCAGGGGGAGTAGTGCTAATGGGACCTAAATGTTCATGAGATTTCACTGGGCCCACAGTAGGAAAAATCTCTGACGTAGATGGAATGTCGCTCCTTCAGCAATACAAATATCAAACACAAAATAGTTCAGCTACCTGGGACATCTTGAATTGTGGAATTGACTAGAATTATTCATCTTCATTAAAAATCATGCTGTTGTTGAATAGCGGCAGTTGAGTTGCTCTGATTGTTGGACGATATTTGGACATTTATTTCTGTTTATCTATTTCAGAATATAACTGTCCTGAAGTTTTATAAGATGCATCCACAGGTCTCTGTAAATGGAGCTCCATCCCCTGGCCACTGTGATCACACATTTTTTTTTTTTCCGAGACAAGGTCTCACTCTTGTCACTTAGGCCACCAGATTGGAGTACAGTGGTACAATCATAACTCACTGCAGTCTCAAACTGCTGGGCTCAAGTGATCCTCCTGCCTCAGTCTCCCAAGTAGCTAGACCTACAGGCATGTGCCACCATGCCTGGATAATTTTTTTGTAGAGATGGGATCTAGCTATGTTGCCCAGGCTGGTCTCAAACTCCTGGCCTCAAACAATCCTCCTGTGTGCTGAGATTGCAGGCATGAGGCATCATACCCAGTCTGGTCTGCATTTTTTAAAAAAAATATGGAATGCTTCACAAATCTGTGTGTCACCCTTGCACAGGGGCCATGCTAATCTTCTCGGTATCATTCCAATTTTAGTATAAGTGCTGCAGAAGCGAGCACCGACATATTCTTAACTCTTTGTGTGCCTTTGGCTTGGGGAAGACACTCAGGTGCTGGTGTCCCTTGTCCCTAGGATACCCTTGAAAAGACTCAGACTGGAGTGGTTAGGGAAGATGAAAGTAGGTACCGAATACACTTCTCATTTACTCATGAGTTTGATGTTTCCATTTTTATTCCTCCACTTAGTGCAACACCTTGACATCTCAACCAGAGAGACAGAGAGGTTAATGTTGGAGAAAAACCAAGTAACATTATATCACAACTCACAGGCCTGATACATATTTTATGTATCCGAGGCTGATATCTAAGTGTCAGCCATATGCTAGGCATTTTACAACATTATTTCTTTACTTTTAATCCTTTAAATTATATTATTTATTTTTAACAGAAAATAAATTCACACATTTCAAAATTTTAAAAGTACAAAAGAGTATACGGTGAGAACCCTCCCTGCTACTCTGACCCTCAGCTTCTCGGTTACCTTCCCATCTGCAACGATGTCACTAGTTTCTTGTGATCTTTCATTCCACAGGCACTTAATGTTATCAGTTTCTTTACAGCTAATTTATATATGAATATGTAAATGCATACATTATTTCCCTAACCCTTTTAAGATAAATGGTAGTACACTGTACACTCAGTTTTGTACTTAATGATGTATCTTGGAGATTGTTCCATATCAGTCCAAAAAATATCTTTCTTAATCTTTTTTTATGATGTCATTGTTTGCATATACTATAATTTATTCAGTCAGTTCTTTATTGATAGACTTTAGGTTATTTAAAATCTTTTGCCATTACAAACAATGCTGTAAATGCAAGTTTTGAAGAATGCAAATTTACCCGTAGGATAAATTCTGAGAACTGGAATGTGTGGGTCACCACACATGTGTGTACCAACCTGTAGGATATTTCTAAACACTGAACCATTTCACACACAAGAGCACTTGGAGGCCGGGTGCGGTGGCTCACGCCTGTAATCCTAGCACTCTGGAGGCCGAGGCGGGAGGATCGTTTGAGCTCAGGAGTTCGAGATCAGCCTGAGCAAGAGTGAGACCCTGTCTCTACTAAAAAAAAAAAAAATAAAAAATAAAAAGAGCCCTTGGAGAAGTGAAGTGACTCACTCACGGACACATGGTTATTAAACACTAAAGCCAGGATTCACACACAGGGTGTGTTTGTTCTAAATCTTCATATTGCTCTTTTACTGGCTCATAAGATTTTTCCTCAATAATAAGATTGAGTACGTACAGTAATATGTGTAATGTCTTGTGGTATGTGCTCTGGAGGATAAAAAAGAGTAAAGACATGGCCGCTCAGGGAGTTTACAAATGAGTAGTTGAGTAAAACATTTGAAGGAAGGAAGTGGATGGAGCCATTGAAAATATATATTTTAGTATATATGTATACACACACCCTCATGCACCCATATATATCTATATATATTTACACACAAACATACATATGTACACACATGTATATAAAGTACATCCAAATAATGGATATGAATATGTAAAAAGAAAAGAAATCGAGAGTTGATTATCCGTTTAATGAAAGAATATGCACATTAAAATAGCTTTAAAAAAATTTAAAAGTAATACAATGCTATTGCAGAGATAAGCATTGAGAAGAAAATAAACATTCCTAATTCTATTACCCAGAGACAACTGCTGTTAACTTTGGGAAAATATCCTTCCATTGTTCTTATTTATAAAATAGGACCATATTTTAAATACAGTTTTATAACCCACTTTTTTCTTTTAATAATACGTAATAACTGTCTTTCAAGGTCATTAAACATTCTTCCTTAACATCATTTTCATAGCCCTGAGTTTTCCATTGTATGAACTGAATCAACCAAACTACAATTTATAATATTTAACTAAATCTCTTATTGTCAGATATGGTTATTCCTACTCTTTCGCCTTTAACTATGATAAACAATACTGTGATGAACATTTGAACATTTTTGGATGGGATTTTTTTGGTCCATCCATTATTCAGCACTCCCCTTCTCGCTCTTCAACATCTGGATCTCTCTCTGAGGGGAATTCAACACTGTAGCTAGCCTTAATGAAAGGCAATGCTCAGTGCACCCGGCCCTAACCCTCCCTGCCATCCCTGGACTGAAAGAGAGATTAAGACGACCTGACTGGTACTCACCTCACTCTCTGGCACAGCCGTGGTAGACTCAGCCAATCAGACACTTGCTCCCAGGACTTTGGACGCTGACCAAGTGGAGGCACAAAGGGAATGCTGGATAATGTCAGGATAACAGAGTGGTGGTGAAGGGCCATCTCTTCCTGTGGGGTGGCCTCGGCACCATCCGGTATCTGGCTCCCTTGTGCCCTAGTTTTCAAACGTGATTCTACAGCCTCCTGTTTTGGTGAGTCCCTGATATCCTTTCTATACATTATTCTCTCGTTGTTTAAGATAGCCAGCAATTTAGTCTCAATTGCTAACATCCAAGAACCCTCACAGATGTAAAAGCAATTTTAGACCAGGTGCAGAGGCTTATACCTGTAATCCTAGTACTTTGGGAGGCCAAGGTGGGAGGATCACTTGAGGCCAGGAGTTTGAGACCAGCCTGGGCAACATGGTGAGTGTTCTCCCCACCCTGCCCCCTCCAACCATTAACCCCATTTCCACAAAAAATAAAAGATTAGCCAGGTGAGGTGACATGCCTGTAGTTCCAGCTACTCGGGAGGCTGAGGCAGGAGGATCGCTTGAGCCCAGGAGTTTGAGGTTGCAGTGAGCTAGGATTGTGCCATTGCACTGCAGCCTGGGCATCAGAGTGAGACCCTGTCTCAGAGAAAAAGAAAAAAAAAATTTAAACATGATCCATGATTTCTTCCTTAGGTAAAGAATTCACATCTTGAAGGAAAGGAGGATTGCTTTAAATAACAAGATCTTCTCATGCATTGTAGAAAATCATGTTTAAAATGAATAAGTTTTAAAGTCGTTTATTGACTAGCTTGTCAATGACTACTTGGCTTCCATTAACATAACAAGCTATACCTTCGTCATGAAAGCCCATCAGTACTGTGAAGACATAATTATTCATATAAAAATTAGGTGTGCTCAGTCTTAA